CTGCAGGCAGTGCCAATATAGCCATTGCTAATTGATACCAGCTACATGATTGTACCACTCATACCTGTACTGTTGCACGTGGCACGTAGCTTGTTTAAGTGTTTAAAATGCACTTGACAAAGGATTAATAAAGAAATGTTAGTGTTTTCTTCAGATGGTCTGAGAGTAGAAACCCTTACAGATTTAAAGCAAAAACCAAAAAACGTATCTGAGACTTCTGAAGGCATGAAATAGACACATGCTTCCCATAATTGTATTTTTCTGGAGTTGCTGGGTTCAGCTGAGTTTTCTGTATAAATTAAGAAATAAATTTAACAAGAGAAGTATGTCTTAAGAATCCAGATATGAAAGTTTTTAACCATTAAAGCCTAAATATTAGAAGTCTAATTGTCTGAGATCATTAGTCAGCAGTTCACTGTGGTTGGAGCAGCTGACACTGACCTTCTCTATCCTTGGCTTTTTCCCTCTCCCTCTCTCTGTAAAGGGAAAACAACTTGTTTACACTTCTTTCTAGAGCCGTATTCTGCCTGGAGTCACGCTGTTCTCAGAAGTCAGAACTGTTTGTCATTGGTCTGCTATTGATTCTACCATCAGCCAGAGTACTCAAATGCCTTATGGATGAATTCTCATAACCTACAAGACACGCAGAATTTAAATTTACAGAAGGCAGGATAAAGGAATGCTCCCCATTTACACCATCTCTGTGGTGCCTGCATTCTGGAGTCAAACAACAGAGTCAACCAACCTTCCCATTTCCCCTCTCCTCCCCACCCTCTTGCCGTAACACATCTCTGCCCAGTCTGGGTACCATACGGCCTCAGTGGGACCAAAGCTGTCCTGCTTTGTAGGATCAGGACAGCCTCACCACAGTGCCACTTCTTCAACAAACTGCCACATCTGGCACCTTAAAATGGAAGCTTCTTGCTTGACTGAGATCTCCGGACCCTCAATGAATTACAGTGCCTGGCTATTCTGCTGAGGTGTATGATTATAGCCAACAGCTTCTCTAGACCAGGCAGAGTAAGAAGAAAATTTCTGCTGCTATGAATTTGAAATCAAAGGTCAGATAACTTATCACCCTTTCCTGATGAAAAGGTCTAATTTGTCGTTGGCTTGCCTTGATCTTGCAAACTAATTCTGCGGGTGTATTTCTGTACTTAAAGTGATTACCATTAAAGTCAATAGAAACTCTGGAAGTACTTCAGAGTAAGGAATTTACTTCAATAAGGACTTGTATGATCATCCTCTCTTGAATTTTGCTCAAACCGAGGCTTACTATTCCCACACCAGCATGTAAAGATACAGCTCAAAATTAAAGAAAAAACCAGAAATTCCTAGCTCACCCTATTATACTACATCATGCTTTAGGTATGATTTGCAGTTCAGTATTTGTATGCAATTGAAAACAATGTGTACTATGTGGATTCATTATTTTACGTATTTCACATATACTTCATCTGCATATAAACAGTTACGCACTTTATGCATGATATACACGTATTTACACGTTAAATATCCGAAATAGCGGTTATTTGTGTCTATTTTTCAGTACCTTCAATTCTTATTTTGCATGTCTTTATGGCACAGCATATGGCACTCCGTAAGCAGTGAGGAAATTCTAGTTTTCTGCAAAGATTGACGTTACAGCCTTTGGGCTCTGTGTTGGGAGCATGTAAGGCATCAGTTAATCAGCCTTTTGCTTCAAAAATTTTATTTTTTCAAACATTAAATGAAAAGGTTTTAAGCATCAGTCACTGAGTAAGGCTGACTGGTACCTCTTGCGTAATAACCTACAGGCTCCAGTTCCACTCTCGCCACAGCCGTCACAGAGCTGCGCGAGGATGAAGTGCTGCAGTGGGAGCCAGTGGGCAGAAAATAGAAGTGAAAAAAAGGGATATCAGTGTTGCCACGACTACACGCAAGCTCCTACACGTTCAAACATTCATGGAGTGTAGACAGCCTGATATTCATTGTTTCTGTTTCTGCTTTGTGGTTGTATCCAAGCATAAATCATTTCTATAGGCGGCGATTCTGTTACTTCAGCAAGCAGAGAAGCCCGGTTTGGATAATAAACAATTTTATTGTTGTAGCTGGGAGCAGAATGATGGCATTCTGTTCCGCTGGAATATTGACTTAAATTGTGAAAAATTACAACATAATATGAAATAATTATAAAAATGGGATAAGCTCCTCTTCCTCCTCTGTTATTGGTTCCTATATTCAGAAGATGGACGCAAGTTATTTTAATGTGTTTGATGAAAACTAACCGTATGACTTAAAAACAATCACTTGGCACTAAAAAATAAAGTATCTGGTTCTTCTTAAGAGAGGATAAACCCCCAAATATTCTGGTTCTAATAGCAACATCCCCCCAGCCCCACAGCCCAAGTTACTTAAACTTATTTGATTGCCCTTATCTTCAACAGTTGATTAAAATAAAGTCAGTAGCAATTGTGGAGACACCAGAGCACTGAACACTGCACCAATATGACTGTAGCTTTGGTAATTATTTTTCCAGTAATATTGAGAAATCTTATTATGACTAAACGTAGTAAAATTGCTGCCTTCACCACTGAAAACAAAAAAATCTACCACCTAAGGCCATGTTTCACAAAGAGGAGTTTGTGCATGGGTTACAGAGCGTGACTGTGGCAGAGCAAAACTCTCGAGGCAGCAAGAACAGAAGAACGGGTGTATTTAAAACAACAGTTTAGGCTTTTCTTCATACTTTCAAAGGAGGAAAATACATTTCACTTATTGACTAAAACACTGCATGGTCAGATCTGCTTCACGTAAATGTTCCCACAGATCTGCCTGTGGGGCGTACGTCTGCGCTTACAGCCAAGTCACCAAAAGCTTCAGCCTCCAGGATCCTGTGAAGGCAAAGGCCAGCAGATACACAGAACCGAAAGAGATCTGTGAACTTTCCCCTCGGTAAGAAAACGCTACAGTAATGGAATATTGCAAATAACTGTGGTTTGGCAAAATCTAAGAGTATGCTGTGATACACACAAGCCAGAATGGGAAGTACCCAACTGGAGATCATGATTAAGAAACAACAAACCCTAAGCAAAGCAATTTCTTAGCCAGTGTACCCTGTCAGCATCTGTGTGCTGAAAAACCTTTGTCAGTTGGCTGACAAAAGAATCTGCAGTGAAACCAAGGCCTACTCCGAAACTGAAAGTTAGCTGTGCTGCTCTAGCTCAGATTTTCACATTTTCCTAGCTTTGAGTTGTGCATCAAAAAAAAAAAAAAAAAGCTAGAAGGACCTCTACCCAGATCTCTATCCTGTTCCCACGGGCAGAAAGTCTAATAAGCTCCAAGATTACCCCACGACTTCTCTGCCTAGCTCTCCAGCAGCCCACTGTGGACTCAGTTTGCGCAACCTCCTAGGAAGAAGTGAGACATAGATCTTATTTGGTCTTGACTTGCTGGTCTTGGCTTACTGGGCTTTTTGGAAGGCTCCTGGATGTTTTGGTAAGTGGTACTCGATTTTTAAAAGCAAAGAGCTCGCTCGCTGTCTCTCAAATCAAAGAGATTTCTTCATCCTGAAGCGTGTGTTGCTATCTAAACTTCATCACTGCACTCTGCCCAAAGAGGACTGTTTTATAATGTGACTTAACTCAGCATATGCCAAGTTACAGCAAGGTAGGTGGCCTCACTCTCCATTTCTGGGGGAAGGCTGGACTCCTCGGCTCTCCTCTAAATGCCCAGTAACACATTTTTCAAATCCACTTTTACACACACATCCTAAACTGATGCTTAATCATATACCAGGTGATGCAGTTACCTTATTACTTCATTTTCAAAGTGTGAAAGGACCTAAACTATTTGAAGTATTTTTTTTTTTTTTAAAGAGGGATCCTCCCCCTGTAATTTCAAATACCTTTTCCCCAAAAGGGGAATTAGGAAGGCAAAATTAGGGAGAGAAAAATAAAGCAGCAGGACAAGTGCCTTTACTGTTAATTGCTTCGTGCGAATTTAGCCTGGTTTTGCTGCAGGGACCGTGCGGGTCGGTCGGGGTTGTTTTCGTCTCATAACGCTGCAAGAGCACCACGCCGGCTTCCTTTCGAGGCGGGGGCAGGAAATAAATTACGCGCGTTCTGCAGGCGCTGCCCCGGAGACGCCGCGGCCGCCCGGCCAGATTTCCGACCCCA